GCATAGCAGACCTTATTCCAGCATTAGTATTGGCATATCATTAAAACAGAATATTAGTTCAGGATAGGAAGGAGAGAGAGAGAGAGAGAGAGATAGAGAGAGAGAGAGAGAGAGAGAGAGAGAGAGAGGGAAATTGTATTAATAAAAACATGGAGGAGTATTTGTATCATAGTGCTATCATTTACCATCATCATCCCTCTATTTATCAAACAACTGATCTTATAAATATTTGATTTATGTACACATTTCTATGATGATCCACATGTACTTATAATATTCTTGATCTATTAATTATCGTCATGTGATCTTCAGGTGATCGTGGGCGGAGTAAGAAATGGAAAGAAATGTTAAAGTTACCCCCAGTTGGAACTTGCTTACCTCTTAGGGACAAAATAGGTAAGAAATAATTTATACTTGAATTCAATTTTATCTACTAGTTCCCTCCCTCTCTCTCTCTCTCCCTCTCTATTCTGTTCCAATAGATCACACGTTTGAATTCATTGTTGAGCAGCAGCCGATAGGTCACAAATTGTTCCTCCTCTTTTGTGAGAAGGACCTGAAACTCTCTCGCTGCATGCAGTTCCTTCACGCTGTGGACGAACTAAAGATTGTCGTTGAGGGAAAAAGACTAGCACACGCTCAGACCGTCTTTGACGACTTTTTGTCCTTGGACGTGAGTTTGTGGGCGTGGTTTTGTGAGGGGTGTGGTCGTGAGAGGGCGTGGCAGCATATGATTTGTTAGTGTTTTTATTGGCGATTGTTCAAGCAAGAAACAAAGGGAGGGAGTGTTGATGGCTGGGAATTTGTGTTTGTAGAATTATCTTTCTTGGAGAGTAGTAACTTTCACAAATAACACTGTGCAGTTTATTAAACATTACTAGATGTAATTGAGATTAAATATTTTTAATATTTTGTGCTCATTTTTCTTTTCATTGCTCCTACAGTCTCCTCAGGATCAAGCCTCAAAGTTTTTGGGTGCTGGAAAACTCGAGTGTGTCTCTGATGAACTGGCCACTAAGACTCAAGAGAAGCTTAAAGGAATTGTACCAGTTGATGTATTTGAAGAATGCAGACAGTAAATAGCATGAAGAGAGAAAGAGAGAGGGAAGTAGAGAATGAACTAACAGTGTACAGTACATTGTATTTTGATTTGTATGGATTCATTTTTTTTGTTTTCCCTAGGGCTGTTCGTGATTTCCTGAGTGGTCAGCCTCTCATTGATTTTGTAGAGAGTCCCTTCTACTGGAGGTTCCTCCAATGGAAGACGCTGGAAAGGTACGTCACAATAATTAATGTCTGTGTGTCTGTGTTTCTGGGCTTTGTGTCTGACTGGTGACATGACTATCAGCCATTAATCTTAATTTGTTCATTGTTCTGTTATTGTTGTGTCTTATCCTTCCCTTAATATCTACCTCTATCCTTCAACCTGTGGGCCAACTTGTCATGATGTCAATTCTTTTATTGATTTATCTATGAGTCATGCTTACTGTATTTGAGTAGAAGCTGTAGCCACGGGCCATTATATGATCATTAGTTACTGTTTTGTCTTCCTAAAGTATTATTCCCCTTCTTGTTCTTTTTCTCGTTTTTTAACTTTTAAAATCCCTTCATCTCTCTCTCTCTCTCTTTTTTCTCCAGGATGATAATCACTAAGGATCATTTCCGTCAGTATCGTGTCCTTGGTAAAGGCGGCTTTGGTTTGGTGTTTGCTTGTCAGAGCAAGTTCACCGGTAAGATGTATGCTCTTAAGAAGCTAGAGAAGAAACGAGTCAAGAAGAGAAAAGGAGAGAAACTGGCCCTCAATGAGAAGGAAGTCCTGGAGAAAGTTGATAGCAGATTTGTGGTAAGACACGTTTGTGACAAACAATGTTTTTTCAATGTTTCTACATCTATGCATGTACAATATGTACAATACATGTATGTATATGTTTCCGTTACTTTGTGTACTGATGTTATATTCACAGTTTGTGTGAGTGTGTGTGTCAGTAACTGCTAATGCGTCATCCATGTTGTCTTTTCAATGATGCTTTATTGTATGTTGATGACAGGTGTCTCTAATTGTCAATAAATATATTCTCTAACATAAATTTACTTCATTTTCCTTTGGAATGTCTTCCCTTTTCTTTCCTCATTCCCTCCTCCTCCTCTAATTAGGTGACACTGGCCTATGCCTACCAGTCCAAAGACTCTCTCTGTATGGTTCTTACTCTCATGAATGGAGGAGACTTGAGGTTTCATATCTACAGTATTGGGTCTCCTGGTCTGGAGCCAGAGAGGGTCGTCTTCTATGCAGCTGAGATAGCGTGTGGTCTTCACCACCTCCACACTGCTAGGATCGCATACAGGTGGGACAAACTGGATTGAAAAACGAGTTTTATTATTATTATTATTATTTAAATATTTTATTTTGTTTCTAGGGACATGAAGCCAGACAATATACTCCTGGATGATGCTGGTAGGAAAATGACACTTTAAATTTTAACAATTGTTTCTTTATCATTTTCCAGGTCACATACGTATATCAGATTTAGGTTTGGCGGTTCATATACCGGAGGGACAGTCAGTGAGAGGTAGAGTAGGCACTCCTGGATACATGGGTAAGGAATTAATGGTGTTGTTGTTATTGTTGTTCTTCTTATTATTGTTGTTGTTATTATTGTTGTTGTTATTATTATTGTTGTTGTTATTATTATTTTTGTTGTTGTTGTTGTTGTTCTGTAGCTCCTGAAGTGATTGACGGCCACAGGTATACCTTTGCCCCCGACTGGTGGGGGATGGGTTGCTTAATATATGAAATGATATGTGGACGAGTAAGAGGAGGAGGAGGGAGGGAGGGAGGAAGAGAGGGAGGGAGAGGGAGGGAGGGGGTAGATTAAAGAGTGCATTTACAAGTGTACATGTACAATGTACATGTTTTTAGCTAATTTTATTATTATAAATCTTTAGACCCCATTCCGGAAGCATAAAGAAAGGGTATCACGAGAAGACATAGAGAGGAGGATAAAGGATGATAGGGTGTGTTTGGATAATTCAGCTTTCACTGAGGATTCAAGATCAATCTGTGACCAAGTTAGCTTAATGAAATCATTAATAAATTAATAATAATAATGATAATTGGATTTACTGTTATCATAATGTTACCTTCTCTTTTCTTTTCCTCCAGTTCTTAGATAAGGTCCATGCCACACGGTTAGGTTGTTGTGGGGAAATGTTTGAAGATGTGAAGGCTCATCCTTTCTTCCAGACGATAGACTTTGCTCATTTAGAGGCCGGACTCATACCACCACCTTTCATACCCAATGTAAGACCCAGTGCTATTGTAACACACTGTATATTATATAGAAATTATCCATTACATGTACATGTATACATGTATATCCTACAATCTTGTTGAATCTATAAGTAATCCTAATTATTATAATAAGATTAATTAAATGATTATTGTTCTTATCCTAATCCCTCAGTCCAGAGCAGTGTATGCTAAGGATGTGTTAGATATTGATCAGTTCTCTTCAGTCAGAGGAGTAGAGATTGAGAAAGCTGACGAGGACTTTGCTGACAAGTTTGCGACTGGAATAGTACCCAAACCGTGGCAAGAAGAGGTTAGCAGTACATAATGTAAATATGAGCAATTTTATAGGCTGCCATTTAATTTTTTGCAAAAAAAGCAAAAGCTATAGCCCATGGATTTTTTCCAAAAAATGGCTCCGAAATCACCTCAAATTTGTATTACATTTACTGATACATACTAATGTACTTATGCTGTGTAGCAAAAAAGTTTGAGGCGATTCCGACTTCAATTTTTCAAGTTACGGTCCTTTTGAGAAAATGTCAAAATTCTGAAAAATCCCTGTATATAGCCCATGGTTTTTTCCAAAAAATGGCTCTGAAATCAGCCCAAATTTTTATTACATTTTCTGATACATATTGATGTCCTTATGCTGTGTAGCAAGTTTGAGGCGATTCCGGCTTCAATTTTTTAAGTTACGGTCATTTTAAGAAAACATCAAAATTCTGAAAAAATCCCTGTACTATATAGCCCATGGTTTTTTCCAAAAAATGGGCCAAAAATCACCCCAAATTTTTATTACATTTTCTGATACATATTGATGTCCTTATGCTGTGTAGCAAGTTTGAGCTGATTCCAACTTCAATTTTTAAAGTTACGGCCATTTTAAGAAAATGCCAAAATTCTGAAAAATACCCAAGGCTATAGCCCATGGTTTTTTTTCCAAAAAATGGCTCCGAAATCACCCCAAATTTTTATTACATTTTCTGATACATATTGATGTCCTTATGCTGTGTAGCAAGTTTGAGCTGATTCCGACAAATAATTTTCAAGTTACGGCCATTTTAAGAAAATGCCAAAATTCTGAAAAATACCCAAGGCTATAGCCCATGGTTTTTTCTAAAAATGGCTCCGAAATCATCCCAAATTTTTTATTACATTTTCTGATACATATTGATGTCCTTATGCTGTGTAGCAAGTTTGAGATGATTCCAACAAATATTTTTCAAGTTACGGCCATTTTAAGAAAATGCCAAAAATTCTGAAAAATACCCAAGGCTATAGCCCATGGTTTTTTTCCAAAAAATGGCTCCGAAATCATCCCAAATTTTTATTACATTTTCTGATACATAATGATGTCCTTATGCTGTGTAGCAAGTTTGAGCTGATTCTGACAAATATTTTTCAAGTTATGGCAATTTTAAGAAAATTGCCCTTAAATTAAACTCATTAAAAACAGATTCATATGTGCACTGTACTATGAATGATGATTGCAAATTTGCTGTACATGTACTTACATAAGAAATATGTGTCGACGTGTCTCCTCCTTCTTCCTCTTCTTCTTTCTCTCCTGCAACTCGTTTTAGACTAGCTTCAAACGATCCCACAAGATCCTCGTCCTCCAGTTCTTCAAAGTAACTCAGCAAGACTAGCTCAACCACGTCGGGACAGTTCTCTACGTCCAAGCGTCTCAACAGCTGCAAGAGATCGTCCTCAAGTTCAATGTACCAGTTCCTCAATAGTCCGCCAGTGAAAGCCTCTTTGACCTTTGAACTCTCGTCTCTAAGTCCGTCGTTGGCGAGTTGTACCCGCTGGTCTATCGTTAGGTTTCTAATGGAGACAGACTCTGAGAGTTTGAGGAACGCAGCACGACGAACAAGGTCTTTGATGTCTCTAGTTCTCTCGATGAGTGCTGGAAGAGATATCTAATTATAGAGAGAAAGAGAATACTGTAATTTTAATTAGAGTGAAATAAAATAAAAAATAATAAATACAAACGTAGCATGCAAGCTTAGTTTATGGAGCAGCTTTAAAAATTCATAAAAAATCCAATTTTGATCGGAATCAGCTCAAACTTTCTACGCAACATAAGTACATGTATATGCATCAGAAAAATTATAAAAATAAAAAATTCTCTCCTTTTTAATTTTGGTAAAATTTGGCCCAAGATCATGTACTATAGTACAGGGACTTTGGCCTAATTTAGAGGATTTTTTGCAAATTTAAATTCCGCTGAAAAGAAGCTGAGCACTATGTGTTGAAATCACTGAAATGTGTTACCTTGGTAACCAGTACATTGACGATGGCACATTTCCTGACTTCAGGGCTGGTGTCATGAGTCATCGACCAGATGATAGCAGCTGTTACTATGCAAGCAGCATCTGAAGTATCCTGAAGATATCCTAACGCAGAGACAGCGTACAACCGCACCAGCTGGAACCGATCCTTCAAACGCTCTAAAAGTCCATCAGCAAGAGAGTCAGAGAGGGCGGAGCTGATCCTAATGGATTCTTGGGAAGGATCAGAAAAGGCAAAAGTGAACATTTTCGATATGAGTTGACACGAGCGGAAACGGACTGATTTCTCTTTAGCGTCCAAGTACTCCATCAGCTGATAAAGGAGGATGTGGAAGAAGTCATTTTGACAGAGTGTCTCATCTGTTTCCTCATCTTCCTCGTCACTGGAGGAGTCCTCTTCACTCCTGGCTGGTTTCTTCATTGCCACAGACACCGAGAACTTAGCAACAAACTCTATGAGTCTCTCTACAGCCGGCTCTCTCTTCAAAACAAGGAGAGAGTTCCGAAGCATTGGGAGGAAAGCTTTAAAGAATTGCTTCACACGAGGAGAAGACGAAGGGCTAGTCTCATCCTCTGCTACTAGCAGGTTATTTAGTGACTTGATGAGCTTCTGGTGGAGATGTAAGCCATTTTGTGCCTCAGTTAAGTGCTTAAGGATTTGAGAATGAAGATCTTCATTGTCCGCCATTTTGAATTTTTTGTCCCGCCCGCCAATTGGCGCCAAAATGAGGACCACGCCTGGTTTTAATTTTGGGTGTGGCTATAGGTGTGGTCAAATACTCGAAGGTCCAAATTATTTTTTGGGGTTGCTTGTTATTCTAACTTTGTTAAAAGCACTCAAAATAGTTTCGAAAAGACAGCAAAGATGGATCCAAGAAGTATTGAGGACCAGCTCTCGGCGACTGACTTTGACGTAAACGGCTACATAAAGACTGTAGCGTATCGTTTCGACAGTTCTGAGGATTTGAAAAAGCACAAGAAACACATACAGAGCGTGGCTGAGAGAACAGCTGGAAAACTAAAACAAAACGTCTACCAGAACTACGCTCTATTCATAGACACTTCCCGTGAGATATCAGCCCTGGAATCAGAAATGTACCAATTGAGTCATTTACTGAATGAGCATCAGGGACTTACGGCTAGCGCTCAGGCAGTTTCTGCTCCAGTTGCGGAGGACTCCGCCCCACTGGAGGACGAATCAGAAAAACACACTATCGCGTCACTTTTGGAAACAGTTGAGGGTAGCGCCATGGTAACGGACGTCCCTGGACGCTACATTATTTATGCGTCCAACCTTCGGGAATTTGACTCCTCCCACCAGAAAATGGAGCCACTAGAGACTGTGAGAGCATTCTTGCTTAACGATAGTCTGCTCCTTGCTACACTCATAAAGGTCAAGAGGAAAGGGCCGATAAAGTATCACTTCCAGGCGCTATACGAATTGGATAACCTGGCGGTGGTGAATATGAAGGACACGGAGAAATTGAAGCACCTGTTTCAGATCAGGATGTTCCCTGAGAGCCATACCTTCCAAGCTGAGAGCGAGAATATGAAGTGTCTTTGGATCAAGCATCTCGAATCAACGAAACAGAAACTGGTCCATGAGAGACAGACCTTTAAACAACTCATCGACATGTCAAGTGGCAGTGCCTCTAAAATGGGGTCTAGGAGAGCCAAGGAGGTAGGGAAACTCACACGGCAGATGACAGAAGCAGGGGCACCACAGTGGGTCAAAGACGCTCCTGAGAACCTTGACGTCTGTATAGCTCAGAGAGAATTTGAGCAAGCCGTGAACATGATTGACCAGGTCAAATCCTTCCTCAAAGACTCCTCTGATCAACTTGTCCTGCGTAACACACGTGCTCGTGTGAATCACAGAATCAATCTGCTGGGGGAAGTATTGATGAAGGAGCTTCAATCCTCACCCTCGGGTTCCTTAAGAGGAGGTCCCAACACAGCACGTAAGACCATCACACTGTTGCTTCGACTCGGTCGTGCTTCAAAAGCATGTGAACTCTTTCTGGCCAATCATTCACGGATCAACGACCATGAATTGAGACATATTAAATTAGAAGGAGCCACTACCATTTACATAGGGAATGTCTCAAGTGCTTTCTTTACTAGCCTGCTAAACGCCGCTAGCGAATTTAGCGAGGCTTTTAAGAACAATCAGAGTAGTTTCTCATCATTTGTCACGTGGTCAATTCGAGAGCTTGACTTGTTCCTAAAGCAGTACTGTATTGAGGGGATTTTCCCTCCTGTTAAGAGCAATTTGAATTTTCAAATGGTAGCAGACTGTGTTGAGACCATTCGTACCCAGTGTGAAAGTCTACTTAAGAGCGGGCTTGACTTAGACTTCAAAGTAATGAACTTCCTTCATCCGCACTTGGAAACAGCTCTAAAACACGCCCAAGAGCTCTTACAAGAGAAAATATCGGTCATTGGGGACACCGATACCTGGGACCCTATGGACTGTCGTCAGAACCAGGCCCAAGTTGCCAAGGTAATAGTCGAACTGGATAATATCGGAGTACCCAGCCCATCAAACATCGTCACTAATGGAATAATAGATCTGAGCAAGACAACATTCTCCAGCTGCAAGCTAATACTCGGCTACGTTGACTGCTATTTTAAGATACATACACCAGAACTACTTGAGGAATTCGCTAGTTGTCTGTGCGACTTATTTCGACACATCATTGGCATCATAAGTAAGGCTATGAGTGACCCTACTCTTCTCCCTAAAAGTGATTTCCTCGTTAAAAATGCTGAGCTGCTGATATACAGTGTCCTCCCTGCTCTGGCACTGAAGATTGAAGGCAAAGTGAAAAGGAAGATACCTGAGATGCCAAAACTTCACGACGAACTAAAAGATCTAATGGAGTTGATAAAGAGTGGAATACCTCAGACTGGAGAGGAGGGGGAGGAGGGAGAGTATGAAAGTGATGAGGACAACGGGTTGGTATGAACTTGAACTGACAATATTTATTGTGTGATTGTAGTTTCATAATTATTATGTCAATTAATGTACTAGCTTTAATTTTCTCTCTTTCTATAACTCGATCTCTTTTACAATTATTAATCTTTTTGTCTAAAATAATTATAGTTATTCTAAATCTCTCTTAAAATGAAATTGATTTCAGTCATGTACATGTATGTGTATCTTGGAAAAGTGAGGGCGGTTGTTTCTTCTTCAAAAGTATATACATGTACCAAATCCAATTGCTAAGTTAAAGACTTCTCTAGCTTGTCCAGCTTTGACTTATAGCTTGTTTCTCTGTCCACTAACTTACGAAGCATTTCATCCTATAAAAAGAATAACAATAAATCACCTTCTTGCCTTTTATAATGTGTACAATGTACATAATAGTATGAGTGACTGTACATGCTCTACAAGTATATACCTGGTATGGTGTTACTGTCTCCTCCAGTAGCTTCTCTGTCATCATTTTAACATCTTCTGGCCTCAAGTTAAGGAGCAGAGTTGGTGGTATTGCTAAATTGAAAATTAAATATTTATCAGAAATCATGAATACACTTGATAACACAAACATATAGTACATTCCACTTTCACTCAATCTCTCTCTCTCTCTCTCTACCCTCATGTCAATTCAGTGTTTACTCTGATAATGAACATGTACATGTATACATTATGTAGCACATGCTTACCTCCTGTAGGAGAGGACATATCTGTACCCTATATAAAGATTAATGAGAAAGATAAGAGAGAGGATAAACTTGAAGCATATGTTACTAATGTACAGTGTACTTGTATTGAGTGAGGAGGAGAGTGGGTTGTGGGTGAGCCCAACTGAGTTTGAGAGGGAGAGCCAGCAGGGGCAGTTGATACTAGTCTGTTATAAAAGTCTTCAGTAACTGATTCTTCAAGAGGAGGAGGCGATAGAGTAGAGGAATCAGGTGGAAGTGATACCAAAAGCTAGCAGAAGAAGAATAGTGACAATTAACAAAAATGTGTAAAGAGAGAAAGAGGTAGAAAATTGTAGAGAGAGTTTGTATCTGGTTTAAGGATTATTATTACTTGCGTTTGAATAAATTCATCTTCTTGTTTCTCTTGAAGGATATACTCAAACAATGTATAATGCTGGACAAGACTAGTATGAATGTACGAGATAGTCGCCATGGCAACCTTAGGCGTGAAACATTTCAAACAGGTTTGATCAGACACGCCCACTCCAGCGAAATAGGATTTAAGCTCATTCAAGTTGTCCTGCAATGTGGTGCGCTTCTCTATGACAACAATTCAGACAATGAGGAATGTTAATGTAATTATATGTACTAGTAGACATTATAGTGATAGTAATTACTAGTGATAGTAATTATTAGTGATAGTAATTATTAGTGATAGTAATTATTAGTAAGATAGTACAGTCCTTTAGAATTAGTGAACATGTACATACATCTACATTTCACTAATTTTATTCATTTATTTTATTCATTTATTTTATTCATTTTTACACTGACAATTCACTTCAGATCACAGTACACAAACGTAGTGTACATGTACATGTAGATACAGTTAAAGTAGGTATGATATTTGACTAATGAGTGTACATAAGGAATGTCAATGTTATGAGAGGAGGTGAATAAGACAACAGTTCTCATCAGTGTGTGTGTTCACTGTGTTGCTTATGTTTGCTGCCCATACCTCTAATGTTAGCCAGCAGTTTGTGTATGATGGTGAAGAATGATGACAACTGCTCATCCGTGAAGTCCTTCTCTTGAGCAAAACTAATAATAATAATAACAATAATAATAACAACAAGTGTATTATTAATCTTTATTTTTATCTTTATTGTAGAGGGTAGGGCATTTGTACCAGGAGCTGCTAATGGTTTTTGGTTGCTAAAAACTTCACTACTAATGCTACAGTGCTGCTGTGGTATTAGCACTCCAACAGTGTAAGCTGTAGCAGAGGGAAGCTAAAGCTAACATGGCTTACACAAAGCTAGATACATAGTAATCCAAGATGGCTGCTTGCTGCAGGTCCTCTTCGTGTTTACTAAGAGAGAGCACTGTAGATAACTCCCTGCATGAGGATACAAATGAGAAAAAAAACCAGAAGTAAGATTAATGTAAATTTAAATACATTTTACATATAATATCACTAATGCAGGCATAAAAGCTTATTTGTATTGTTAATGCCAGGATGGATGGATCTACATTGTAAATTCATTGGTAGCAAAAATAAAATCATGATAAAATATATAATACTTTGTTAATTCTGTAGGAGAGAGTGCTTTAAACCTGGCCACTTGAGTTTGTGAGAGAACCTGCCACGAGAGCTGCTCTGGAGTATTCACCATCACTTCACTCGGCAGCTGCAAAATTTATAATAAAAGAAAGAAATAAAAGAGATAAAGATTATTAATTATATTGTTTGTTTCCATGGCAACTATCCATTAAAGAGATAAAATTCATTTCTGGAGTAGTTTCTTTTGCTGCTTAGCTTGCAAACAGACTTTGACTCACCTCTGCTGTGCTCTCAAACTTGCTGGACTTGCTCAAGTGGCTCTTGGAGCGAGAGGAAGAGAGAGATCTACTGGACGACATTTTGCAAGTTGCATCCAATCCAGCCACGCCTACTAGAATAAGCAACACCTTTCAAGTATACGGAAATAAAAATCGGTAACATTCCGTATACTGCAATATTAACAAAAAGCGTGGTCATTCTTCACAGATTACTGGTCTAAAAAGAGAAGCACTGTATAGCTCGAAGGACACAAGACACGCCATCTTTTACTACAATGGGAATAGAGTCAATCGTTGTATGGTAAGTTTGATCTAGTCACGTGATCTCCTTGACCACACCCCCACTCCACAGTGTTGACAACAGTGAGTGGATGAGGAATGGAGACTTTATCCCGACACGACTTCATGCCCAGCAAGACGCTGTGAATGTTGTCGCTCGTTTTAAAACTAAAGAAAACGTTGAAACGTCAATTGGCCTTCTCACCTTCAGCGAGTATGCGAATATTAATTGGTTGCCATGGTTACAAGCTCCTCCACTTTAGCTCGGACGTCCGTGTCCCCTTGACGACAGATTACAATAAGATTGCAAAGAGTCTTCAACAAGTTGAGCCGAAAGGAAATTTGAAATTCATAACCGGAATAAGGATAGCTCACGTGAGTTTATTAGTGGGTGTGGCAGTGTAGTTAATTAATAGTTATTAATTTTAGTTGGTTTTGAAGCATAGATTGAATCGCAATCATAAGACGAGGATCATAGCTTTTGTGGCTAGTCCTGTACTTGACGATAGGAAGGAAGTGAGTCTATTCTAGCAGCTGTTCAGTTCATTAATTCATTGTTATTGTTATTGTTATTATTATTGATGTTATTATTATTGAACATTAATGTACTTTCATTTGTGTAGCTCATATTATAATTATGTTGCAGTGTCAATTAATCAACAGAAAATTTTGAATCTTTGTTGCTATATTTTAAAAAATTGTCTGATGTACATGTACGTGTATGCGTAGTAGCTATAGAACACTGAAAATTTGTCAGTAATCTTTTGACATTAATTTATGTACATTGACCCTTCTTTATTATTATTATCATTATCATTATTATTATTATTATCATTATTATTATCATTATTATCATTATTATTATTATTATTATTATTATTATTATCATTATTATTATTATTAGTATTATTATTATCATTATTATTATTATTATTATTATTATTATTATTATTATTTATTGATAGATGGAGCGACTGGCCAAGAGGCTGAAGAAGGAGAAGATTCGTGTTGATATTGTCAGTTTTGGTGAAGATGAAGTTAACGTTGATAAACTCACCCACTTCATTGACACTTTGAACGGATCAAGCGCTGATCAGAAAGAATCGCAAAAGTATAAAGAAGAATGAATTTGATTCAAACAACATGTCTTTTCTTTTATAACCCATCCCTCTCTCTCCCCCTCTCTCCTCTCTCTCTCTATAAAGATGTCACCTGGTTCAAGCCCGACCTGGCCCAATGCTCTCCGATATATTAATACAATCTCCTATAATGATGGGAGAAGATGGAGTCCCCATTGGTATGGCCACAGGTGGTGCTGGGTTTGATTTCTCTATGGATCCAATGGCTGCCGATGATCCTGAACTAGCGATGGTAATCATAAGGGAAATAAATAGTTCATTATTATTGGAGCTGTTACAGTAGTTTACTGTTTAAAAGTATTTAGGACATAATTTGGATTGTGTGTGTGAGGGAGTGTATAGATTCTGATTAACTGTAACATTACAAATTTTTAATGAGCAGGAATGAACCAAATTAAGAGTGAATTTTTTTAACATGCATGTATAATTAATTTCATTGTATTGTTGTGTTTCTTATTATTATTATTATTGTTTAATTTAGGCTCTGAGGGTATCGTTAGAGGAGCAGAGACAGAGACAAGACTCTGAGACCCTTCGTGTTCAAAGAGAATCATTGGAACAAATGCAAACTGATTCTGGAGGTAAAGATGTACTGGTATTGTTATGAATTATCATTATTTTGTTAGGGGGTGTGGGTGAAGGTGGGGTTTTAGCACAGGCTGGGAGATCTGATCTACCAGTAAATGAGGTGAGAGGAATGTTAATTGTATTCATAGCTTGACACCTTAACCGCAAGTGTGTGCCCCACTATGATATGGTCTGGTTTATCTCCTTTAAAATGCTTCTCCTAGCCAACAGTTTGCAGATGTGATATGAGTTACATGTATCTTCAATAAAATTTTTGAAAGGACTTTTCAAAGTCCTGTAATGTTTACGTTTGACAAATTTGTGAATTTGTGAATTTTTGAAATTAAATTAACAAATTTTCAGGTAATCAGTTTAATGTGGTCCCTAGTGGTTCCAACAAAGCATGCTAAGTGAGCTAAACAGCATGAGCTTCATGAGCTGACAAGCATTACAATACAGTACATGGCATTTGGAGCAACTTTAAAAATTCATAAAAAATCAATTTTGATCTGCATGAGCATTATGCCAAGATCCTGTGAGAAACCCTGCCCATACTCTTCTCTCTTGTTCTGTTTCCTTTAATGATTGTACGCTAAATGTTTGTTGGTTTGTTTGTTTGTTTGTTTGTTTTAGGGCGTCACTGGACTTGGTACTATCCCGGTAAGTTGCTTGCATCTCATTAGCAAAGAGAGAGAGAAGGAGAGAGGGAGACATCATCACAAGATGGAGGAAAGTTCATTATTATATTTATCTCTTTGTGTCCCTCTTTTAGGATATATCTGAAATGACAGAAGAGGAGCAGTTGGCTATGGCACTACAGATGTCAATGGCAGGTAGGGACAGCAAAGTAGAGAGAGAGTGATATTTAATGATGAGTTTAGCCCCCGAAGAAACTGAAATGGAAACAGAGAGCTCAGGACCCAGTGGGTCGGCCCCCAAATCCGGAACTGAAGATGCTTCAAAATCTGAAGGCCCCCAGTCAGAAGATGCAGATATGCAAGACTTAATGCAAAATAAAGAATTCCTACAGTCAGTTCTGAGCTCACTCCCTGGTGTTAATCCTGAGGAGGCTATGCAGAATTTACAAGAAATGAGTGAAGTAGCTGCTGAACAGGCAGAAGAAGCAAAGAAAGAGAAAGACAAAGTAGATGATGAATGAGTCTTGCTCAACCTTCCCCTTTCTCTTTATACACTCTAGGATAAGTCATCATAACTTTATAATCACAAGAGAAGGATATGTTCTTCAGTTATGGTTACAGCAACTTTTAGTTGTAGAATTACTGTTAATTAATTTTAATAATAATGACAATGAATATTAATGAGCGGATGTTGGGTGTGACCGCATCACTCCATATCTCCTCAATTCAGTCCTTTCCTTCTCTGCCCCCTCTCTCTCTCTCCATTTCTCTGTCTCTCTGAGAGAAAAAGGAGACGGTAAAAGAGAGCCGTATATCTATAACAGCGACTCTATCATTCTACGATAGCCACTGTAACAGAAGGATCTGTATAACCATAGATATAACGAGTTATTGGTGAGCCCTCTTTAGTCTTGATAACCAAACTGATCCCTCCCCTTCTTAAAACGTCCATTCTTCTCATCCTCTCTACAGATCTAAGGATACCAGTATGGAGTTAGAGAATATAGTAGCTAATACTGTCTACATTAAAGCCAGAGAAGGTAATTATCCTGTAATTTAGGATTACTTCATCTCTGATTACATGCTCCAGCAATACACATAAACACACATTCTGATGTCCCTATACTTCATTATCTAATTTGTTTTGATTGAGTGTTCCCATCTTCAAAGAGAAGACTCTTTGTGTTGTGTTGTTAGTCATGTCCCTAATATGTTAAAGACCTCGTTCTACTGTACTTATATTGGTTTTAACGCTGTGTTAACAGTATCACATTAGCGGCACTGATTTGACTCTCACCTAATCAATTTAAGCATTAGCGATCAGTATGATATTCATTTATTATTGTATCTATTTATTTATTGGCTGGATAACGTAAAATGTAGTTCTAGTCCAAAGTAGATGGCACACACGTCACGTATGTATGCATAAGCTTGGTAAATATTGACTGTTGCTTTTGTAAGGACACGAGTTCACTTCTCTCTCTCTCTCTCTCTCTCTCTCTCTCTCTCTCTCTCTCTCTCTCTCTCTCTCTCTCTCTCTCTCTCTCTCTCTGTTTTTGTTGGAGTCAGTGTGTGTGTGTGTTGTTCTAGTGCTTTGCTGTCCTTGTCATTCATTCATGTATTGTATTATGCTGCTCTTACAGTTTGTCCTAATCATAATCATCTCTGTTGGTATTTATTAGTAGAAATAATATCCTGTTGATTATTGTGAGTGAGAGAGAGAGGGGGGAGGAAGAACAGATTAGTGGAGAGGTTGAAAAAAATGAGTAAAATTCATATTGTAAGGATACTCAAATTCAAATACCTTGTTCATGTGAAAACAAAACATGGAGTATTGTTGTGTCCATGTAGATACACTTAGAGAACACTTGCTGTATGTGCATGTACAAGTATTGGTTTGACACTAATCTGTAGTAAGGTCACACACTGTGAGGTGTCCATGTCATAATGCTAACTGGTTATGTTCACTAACATAATCCTCTCCCTGTCTTCATACATTGTATTCCTTCAATAATTTCTCCATCTGCTCCATTATTGTAATATCTTGTGTGTCTGTTGTTAGTTGTGGTAGGGAGGGAGAGAAGGAGGGAGAGAGGAATCAGATAGAGAGGGTAAGCATGGCCTAGGAGTAAAGTGACTTTATGCTCTCATTATAGACTGTCTGTGTTTGTGTATGTTTCTAAATTAAAGTAGCAGCTATTACTGAAGCCAAGTACACTACTCCAGTATCTTTGCTGTGTCTATCAACCTGTGTTCCTAATGTATACTCATAGTGACATATACTGTACCTGCTTTCCTCTATCTCTCTCTTTCTTTCCCTCTCTCAGTCTTGTTGTTTCTTGCTGTCCTGTTATTTTTATTGTTGTCCTATTTTGCCTGTCAATCTGTCTTCCATTCATACTATTCCTCCTGTACTAATTCAATTGCAATAACTTCCTTTGTGTGTAATGCCAATCATACTTACATGTTCATGCTGGTACTCTCATTGTTACTCCCCTTCTTCAAACTACACGACTCACTCACTGACTATATTCCATAGCTTGTACTAATAAATTCCAGCAATGCACATACATGTACACTCTCTGTCATCTCTTATTGACAATCAATCATGTACATGTACATATGCGTGATATTCATTTGAGGATTGATCTATCAACCAACAGGCAATAACCTTTAACAGTCTTCAGTATAAGGCTACATGAGCATGTTCACGTCTATAAGTACATGTACAGTACACTGTACATGTACATGTACATATGTTGTATCTTGTGGATGTTTATCTTTTGTAAGCACTTGCATTTCTCTCTCCTTTTCTCTCCCTCTCTCCCCCCCTCTCTCTCTTAATAATGATATATTCTTTATTGGTAGGTTTTTCTTGGAATGCACAACTTAATTGTCTCATTTTGTTGTTGTAAACTTTATGAAAGCATGCTTTCCACCTTCTCTAGGTTTCCTATTGCACTTCCAGGCATAGCAGACCTTATTCCAGCATTAGTATTGGCATATCATTAAAATAGAATATTAGTTCAGGATAGGAAGGAGAGAGAGAGAGAGAGAGAGAGAGAGAGAGAGAGAGAGAGAGAGAGAGAGAGAGAGAGAGAGAGAGAGAGAGAGAGGGAAATTGTATTAATAAAAACATGGAGGAGTATTTGTATCATAGTGCTATCATTTACCATCATCATCCCTCTATTTATCAAACAACTGATCTTATAAATATTTGATTTATGTACACATTTCTATGATGATCCACATGTACTTATAATATTCTTGATCTATTAATTATCGTCATGTGATCTTCAGGTGATCGTGGGCGGAGTAAGAAATGGAAAGAAATGTTAAAGTTACCCCCAGTTGGAACTTGCTTACCTCTTAGGGACAAAATAGGTAAGAAATAATTTACACTTGAATTCAATTTTATCTACTAGTTCCCTCCCTCTCTCTCTCTCTCCCTCTCTATTCTGTTCCAATAGATCACACGTTTGAATTCATTGTTGAGCAGCAGCCGATAGGTCACAAGTTGTTCCTACTCTTTTGTGAGAAGGACCTGAAACTCTCTCGCTGCATGCAGTTCCTTCACGCTGTGGACGAACTAAAGATTGTTGTTGAGGGGAAAAGACTAGCACACGCTCAGACCGTCTTTGATGACTTTTTGTCCTTGGACGTGAGTTTATGGGTGTGGTTTTGTGAGGAGTGTGGTCACAAGAGGGCGTGGCAACATATGATTTGTTAGTGTTTTTATTGGCGATTGTTCAAGCAAGAAACAAAGGGAGGGAGTGTTGATGGCTGGGAATTTGTGTTTGTAGAATTATCTTTCTTGGAGAGTAGTAACTTTCACAAATAACAGCGTGCAGTTTATTAAACATTACTAGATGTAATTGAGATTAAATATTTTTAATATTTTGTGCTCATTTTCATTACTCCTACAGTCACCTCAGGATCAAGCCTCAAAGTTTTTGGGTGCCGGAAAACTCGAATGTGTCTCTGATGAACTGGCCACTAAGACTCAAGAGAAACTCAAAGGAATTGTACCAGTTGATGTATTTGAAGAATGCAGACAGTAAATAGTATAGAGAGAGAGAGAGAGAGGGAGAGAGAAAGAGAGAGGGAAGTAGAGAATGAACTAACAATGTACAGTACATTGTATTTAGATTTGTATATATTCATTTTTATTTTCCCTAGGGCTGTTCGTGATTTCCTGAGTGGTCAGCCTCTCATTGATTTTGTAGAGAGTCCCTTCTACTGGAGGTTCCTCCAATGGAAGACACTGGAAAGGTACGTCACAATAATTAATGTCTGTGTGTCTGTGTTTCTGGGCTTTGTGTCTGACTGGTGACACGACTATCAGCCATTAATCTTAATTTGTTAATTGTGTTGTTTTTGTTGTGTCTTATCCTTCCCTTAATATCTACCTCTATCCTTCAACCTGTGGGCCAACTTGTCATGATGTCAATTCTTTTATTGATTTATCTATGAGTCATATTTACTATATTTGAGCAGAGGTTGTAGCCACGGGCCATTATATTATCATTAGTTACTGTTTTGTCTTCCTTAGGTATTGTTTCCCTTCTTGTTCTTTTCTCGTTTATTTTTTAACTTTTAAAATCCCTCTCTCTCTCTCTCTCTCTTTTTCCTCCAGGATGATAATCACTAAGGATCATTTCCGTCAGTATCGTGTCCTTGGTAAAGGAGGCTTTGGTTTGGTGTTTGCGTGTCAGAGCAAGTTCACCGGTAAGATGTACGCTCTTAAGAAGCTAGAGAAGAAACGAGTCAAGAAGAGAAAAGGAGAGAAACTGGCCCTCAATGAGAAGGAAGTCCTGGAGAAAGTTGACAGCAGATTTGTGGTAAGACACGTTTGTGACAAACAATGTTTTTTCAATGTTTCTACATCTATACATGTACAATATGTACAATACATGTATGTACATGTTTCCGTTACTTTGTGTACTGATGTTATATTCACAGTTTGTGTGAGTGTGTGTGTCAGTAACTGCTAATGCGTCATTCATGTTGTCTTTTCAATGATGCTTTATTGTATGTTGATGACAGGTGTCTCTAACT